AGCGGATCGAAATATAATTTGGAAAATCGTGTTATTTTCGGGAAGTTTCGATGTCATGGTGTCAACGCTTTCCTACCTTGTGTTATTATATGAGTAGTAGAGGAATGTACCGGCGACTGACTAACTATGCCGATCCCACTTTAGGTCATTTTTTTATTAGCCAAGAAACGTTCCGAGCGCCTGTGCTTCAAGCCTGTACCACTAATTATATTTCCAAATACTAAAGTGTGCGCGTTTGCTTAAATTTTTCAACAAAAAAAAAAGATTTCAAAGATCGAATATGATTCTAATATCCTGAATCCACATGTATGTAATTAATTTCTCATCATAAGGTGCAATGATACATATATCAACAAACTGCAACTTTTGTTGACAACATGGCGTGTTGCAAGTACCATCAATAACTGGCAACTTGTTGCAGAAATAGAGCATGTCCTCATTTCAATCAATCAAATTGACGACAGTCTGTCAACATGCAACATGGTATGATACACAGAGCAACTTTTGTTGTAAACAAAATTTGACACATGTAATGGATTTAGACTCTAAGTAATTGGTCTGAGGTCTCTAGTGCTAGCAGGTTTGTTTATACCTTGTGTATTCATAGACCCCAGCATAGGATTACATCACATACTAATCAGTGTTCTCCACGAGGGGTTTTAGCAGGGCGCAGCGCCCTGCATAGGAAGTCATGCGCCCTGCAAAGGTAGTCGTGTGCCCTGCATCGGTCAACAAGTGCCCTGCATTCACATTTCCCGTCCCGATCTAATACATTGTATTGTTAGTTGAGTATTCAGTGTTCTCCACAAGGGGTTTAAGGGGCGAAGCACCCCTCTTTAATTTATTTGCGCCCCTCTTCAATTTGTAGCACCCTTCTATTTATCTTCAGCACCCTCCTTTGTTTTCGGTGACAGTGGTTTCACATTCTCGAAAGATGTCCCGACGACATTATTGAGAGACCTCTTATTAATTGACAGGCGATAAAACAAAGAACTAAGATAGATAGTGGCATAGGTGACAACTAGGACAATGGATTTGATGTCTGGGGAAAAATTGGCTAAACTAAAAACAATGAATGGATGCGTGAAGTGATTGTCACAAGCATTGCATTAATCACGCATTGGGATAGTCAAAACAAGTTTTCTCATCATTCCTGAATTAGCTTAGATACTTAAGAACAGGAGAACCAGCAACAATTTATTGGTCCAATTGCTTGTTACTTGCCTTTTATTGGCGAAAAGTAAAAAGAATCATCAAATAAATCACCAAAACAAAATGTACAGTAAACACTGAAACAACATGGATGTCACGGTATCTGATTTGACCTTTGTCCTCAGTACCCACAATGCAATCAACATAATGATTAATTTATTTACAGTCATCGGATTCGATTTTTTCTTTTTCTTTTAAATGGTAATTTTGTTATGTGAAAATATTTTTCTTCTTATTACTTGGGGTTGTCAGCTATTACAATATCTCAGTGCATTTATAAAACCTATA